TTGGGCATCCAGGTAGGCACCAAGGAGTTATTGTGTGTTGGTTAAAAGCAAGACAAAGGCCATAAAAAAGAGAAAATAAATAAATATTGGGAGAGTGGAAGGAAGGGTCTCAGATATAATTCTGCTTGTTTAGATACCAGTTGGGCATCCAGGTAGGCACCAAGGAGAGGGGAAGTTGAGGAAGACTTTGGACATTAGAAAAAGGTTTAGACTCAGGATATAAGCTATATGAGTTGCCAACCTATATTTGGTATTTAAAACCATGAAACTGAGAAGCTCATCAAGGAAGTGAGAATAAAATGGAAATGAAGAGGTCCAAGCATTGCATCTTGGGACACCCCAAAAGTAAGAATCCAGAGCGGTGAGGGGGTATCAGGTAAAAGAGGCTCAAGATAAACACCAGCAAAAGAGAAGTTCTGGGAGCACAGTGGGAAAGTGGGTAAGGGAGGACAGTGGCGTTGTCCCTTGCACCAAGCAAGCATGTAACAGGACAGAGGTGAGCCACAGCACTGGCCGGTACGGAATTTCCAGCAGCATTACCTAGAGCAAGCTCAGTGGAGTGGGAAGAGTGTGAGCCCTGCTGGAATGCGCCAGAGAGAGACATCCCAGCTAGGGAGCGCACACCGCTTTCCAGAAAGGGTTTTGATGCTTTGGTTCGGTTTTTACTTTATGATCGGAAAAGCAGGAGCATGGATGTGAGCTGGCAGAAAATCTCCAGCAGAAGGACGGAATTTGAGAGCACGTGAGAGAATCGCTAGGGCAGTTTCTGGCGCCCCGGGACGATATCTGCTATGGAAGCTGGCCCGCTGGGTTTATGTTCCACTATGTGAAGTGCTTAGTGGTTAGGAAAATCCTGAAACTGAGAGAAAACTAAGTGCTATTCATTAAAGGGACCAGTCTAAGGTGACCTTCTAGCTCCAGTGTAGTGCCACTCAGTAGGTTATTGAAGGAGATGAACAGAATACCAACAATAAAACAGAGAGCTCCTAGTCACAGTGAATCACACTAACCAACATTGAGGACACAGGACTGTTAATAAACAGATTTTGATGGAGGGTAAGAAGAGCCACGGGCTATGTTTGCATTTGATTCATATGAAGAGTTTGCTAGAGTCAGGATCTCACATGGTACTTGACTCCTTAGAGATATTCAATAGGTTGATTGGCTAGCTAGCTGTGGCTTTTAAAAAAGTAACATAATGAAAATACCTGTCGCTTCACAAATAGGACATGGCATAATGCTTCCCGACACGTGGATCCCTCCACAGACTTATGCTGACTCCTAAGGCTCATCCACAGAGCAGAGCTCTGATGGGAACCAAGGGAAGGCAGGTGGTGAAAGTGTAGCTGCCATTTTCATGGGGAAGCAAATGGAGTGGACAAGTGGCATTCTAACTAATGTTCCCAATCCGAATCCCACCATGTTCCAAGTATTGAAAGAAACACATTGCACTTGGGAAATATGTCTCAGCAAATATGGAAAATTAGGAAACCATGTTTTGCTATTTGGTACGAGTATCCTTTTACTCATAATAATTGAGACAGTAGCATATATCCTATTTCTTCACTTGCTCCAATATAAATTTGGAGCTCTGTTACTTGCCGGGGGGGGAGCCCCCAAGTATAATAAAAATCATACTTTAAAATATATTACTTGATGACTACTATCCTCAGGCCTCTTGGGGTAAGTTTATAGCGCAGCTCTCTGTGCCGGGACTCCCTAAGCCTCATTCACCCTTCCACCCCACCCCCCACCCCCCTGCCTCGCCTCTAGGATTAAAGCCCTGTGCCTCTATGCCCAGGTCTCTATGTTAGAATCCTAAAATGTATCACTGGGGCTGGAGAGATGGCTCAGCGATGAACAGCACTAGCTGCTCTTTGCAGAGAACCTGGGTTTGATTCCTGAACCCACATGGCAGCTAACAACTGTCTGTAACTCCAATTCCAGGGGATCCGACACCTTCCTCTGGCCTCCATGGACACTGCATGATATGAGGGCATTGACATACATGCAGGCATAACACCCATTAACATATTATTACTGAATAAACATACATTGTTTTTTTTTTAAAAAAAAGAGCAGTAAAAATACTAAAACTTCTAATTTTATAATAGTGAACCAAAAGCATTAATAGCTCAGGAAAGCCTTGGGAATCCAGGGTCGAAATCTGCCTTTCTTTCTTACAGCTATTCCGATCCAAAGACAACCACCACTCCCATGATAGAAATTCCTTCAACTTGGCTTCTACTTAACCCAATCCACTGTCTGTGTTTCAGGATTGTCTTCCACATGTCTCACAGGTTTTTAATTATAGCCTTTGTTTACTGAACTCTGCTCAGTAATTTTAGTGAAATGTGCTGTATTATTACAAAGGAGAAAACAGTGAGCTGAAATATTGAATCAGGCCTGTGGCTGTAATATATGGAAACTGACTTCTGACTATGGATTGACAGTCATGCCAAGGCCCACAACTTGTTATTCAACCTAATAATTTATTTGTCTTAGAGTTAGTGACACTACTCCAAATTGAGCTCACTCTGTAGTTTTTGCAAATAAAGTTTTACTGGAACACAACACAGCTGATTCTATAATGCAAAGTTGAGTTGTTATGAGACCATGTGATCTTCAAAATCTACAATGTTCACTTTATGACCCTCTATCGGAAACTTGCCCACAATTAATTTAATAGCTGATGTACTTATTAAGATCCATTTTTGAGAGGCTGGAGAGATGGTTTAGTGGTTAAGAACACTGGTTGTTCTTGCAGAAGACCCGGATTTGAATCCCAGCACCCACACGGCAGCTAACAACTGTCCGTAACTCCAGTTCCAGGGGATCCAACAGCCTCTTCTGTCCTCGGTGGAGATTGCACGACATGGGTGCACTTATCTACATGCAGACAATATATGCATACACATAAAAGAAAAAATAAAATCATAAAAATTTTTTAGAAGATCCATGTCTGAGGAGCCCTGTTCATTCAGTCAATGGAAAGAAGAATCAGGTTATAGACCATAAAGTCACCAGAGCCCCTAACTTCTATAAAAAGTGCATGGTGCCTTGGAAGTTAGATTTTTCTGAATTTAAGAAATGTATTGATTTCTTAAATTCAGAATTTATCAACAGAATTTCTATTGGATAAGAGGCACCTACATGTCAAACAGACTTCCTTTCTAGGTTGTTAAGAAGAACTTCCCAAGTGCGTCTGTCAAATGCAAATATCTGAAATGTAAATTTGCCTCCTAACATTGTGATTTTTATAAGTGATCCTGATTCCATGCATATTCACATTAAAACCTCCTGCATGCTTTATCTTATTATTACAGGCTTTGGAAACCATGGAAGAATTTTTAAAAGACAACTGCTTTCATTTGCAATGTTAGTGTGCAACTCCGTCCCATGTGTGTGAAAAAACACTGAGCTGAGAACACCACCAGAGGCTGGCATTTTCTCCCACTGTGAGTGTGAGTGTGCATGTGTGTGTGTGTGTGTGTTCTCTGAAAAAGTGCAGAAAGCCCCAGAAAGGAAAGAGGGAGCCACCTTGGTCATCTCCCCAGAGCATCCGGAGCCCACTTTGAAATCTGGTGGTGTGAGGTTTACAGCAAGGTGGTTACGCTCACGCCAACCCAAGCCAGGCCGTGTGGAATTGAGTTTTGCTGGGGTTCCCTCATCCAGATATACTCAAGAAGTCACCTCTCAGCTTTTCCCACCCATTGACTCAGTAGTCAAACTCCGTGTTGTGAGGCCTAAACTGCCCTGTATTAGAGTGAAGGAAGCCCTCTCTCCTTGTGAAATTATACAGCTTCTTTTTGCAACCATCTTACATGGTTACTAGGAATTCAGTTTCAGGTCCCTGTGCTTGCCCAGCAGGTACTTTTACCATCTCCCAAGCAACATTGTTAAGTTTTAAAGTCCAAATTTTTTTGTCTGTCCTAAGTAAGAATGCAAACATTTTAATTCTTTGAGCAGAGTGCTAGAGGAAGTTTATAGTTTCTGTGCCTCAGACAACCTATATTTAGGGAAGTAACATTTCTAATTCAATTTACAGTGATGTCAAGAAACAACACGTATCTGCAGGCAAAGATAAGAAAAACACACAGGAGTACACCCTGATAGCTCTACTTAAATAAATAAACTTTTGGTACTAGTGAATAGGTACACAGGATTATTATATGTTTACTTGGCAAACGTGACAATTCGGAATTACTTCTAGTCACATTTAATTGGATTTGGAATCTCTGGGGAAAAGAAATAGAGAAGCCTAGCAAAGAAACAGTCATAAAAGTAAACTGTTTTTCCAAAGGGTGCTAAGGAATGAATTAATACCATTCCACAATAGTTTTTTAATATCCCCTCAGCTTAATAAGACCAATGCAGTGATCATATGCACTGGCTACAGAAACTAATTCAATTAGACACAAACTTGGAAGGAGGGGATTGTTTGTTGAGTTGGAGATTGTTTCTTTAATTTTCCATTTTTAGAAGGGCAATTTAACCAGAGATGAATAATCTTTAACTCAGGGAATGTCTGTGGTATCCTTAAATGCCTAACTAACAACGCTGTGCTCTGCTACATTTGAAGACATCTTAAAGTCTACATGCCTGGCACAGAAAGAAAAATCCATCGTGTCTATGAAATACATCTCCACAAGTGTGGGCCTTTAGGACCTGTTATTCTATAAATGCTTTGAGGCTAAATACAACACAAGCAAAAGAAAGCATTCCCTCACCGTCTTTAAATATACTTCCACTTTACAGATAGAAAAACCATCTAGAAGACAAATAGCTTATTCCTTCTCTTGCAGTTTCAGGAATGCTACAAGAATTCATCTACTTTCCACATCCTAAAACGTGTTTTATGTTTTGCTTAACTTTACTCAAGTTAAATTTGGACACAGCAAAGCCTCCTCCAGTGTTTGTACATACAGCCTGCTCTTGTTCTCCTTCTTCCCTCTAAAATCACGCTTTTTACATCTGTTCTTATTCCTAGAAGCGCCATGATTGCTGACTACATGTTCTGGCTCTGCGGAGGACGTGAACAATGCATAAGCAAGCTCATCAAACTGTACTGGCAGGTAAAAATGGATGTCCCAACTAGGAAAGGGGAGTACATCTCATTTCTAGACCCAAAACGAAAGGTTAGCACTTAAAAGACTGCTGAAAAGGTAGCGCTGGCAGATCAGTCAGACGGACACTACCCAGTGGTAATGTATTTATAATGAAGTAGATTTCCCAAGACTCGTTTTAAGGGCAAAATTCAGGGCTATTAACCCTTGAACCATACTTGAGGTTTACAACTCAATATAAATTTTAGACGTCCCAGGAACTATTTTTTCCAGGCATGCTGTAATAATGGCATGAGTCTTTAAATATGAATATTGTGTTATTGAACAATCTTATCTATTTGTGGGCTACAAAATCAAATATTTGAAGTAATATTAATTATAAAATCAACAGTAATAAAAATCTGCAACGTATTTGCTGTGTGATATCAACTGTTGAAACACTGGGTAACAACAGACTGCAAATCTTCTGCCATTCAGTGTTCAAAATGGCAGTCAGAAGTCATCCCACATCTCTGTTAGCTGCCAAGAGGAAAGCTATCAATTGGAAAACTTAGAAATCACTTGTTCAGTCTCCTTCCCAGCACACAAATATGTTCTTGGCCTGTGTCCACTCTAAGTTGTCAATAAGTTTCAACTGATATTATTTCGGATGTTCAATTTGCTGGTTATCAAACTGCTTCTCTCATCTAAAATGGCCACCACCCCTAAGAACTTCCATTCAGTGATTCCCAGTGGAGCCAAGCAGACACATGAACCTCATTTCTAAATGAGAACTCTTTGGGTATTTAACAAATCCCACCTCCATATCTTCTCTCCTCCAGGCTTTGTGGGGAGTTTTCCTTTGTATGTTCCTTGTATTTCCTTGCATTTCAGGATGGTTTCATTTAATTCAGTTGTCCTTTGAAACAACTGAAATATCATCTGCTAAACCAGTAACAGGGATGTAAGAAATTTTCACTGGCTGCTTCCTGAAGGTGCCCAATTTTTACCCCAGATTCTCACTATTGCATTAGTATTCGGCTAACCCTATGAGATTCCCTGTAATTTTGGTATTTCCATTTAAATATTTGGAGCTCAATTTACCTACTATAAAAAAGCAAGGATCCTAAAACTATTAATCCTTTTGTGTTTGAGACCTTTGACTTAAAAGGAAAAAAAAGTGATCTTCAGATAGACACTATTTTCATCTCAAAAAGACTTCCTTAAAAAAAAAACTAATTATAGGGGCTGGAGAGATGGTTCAGAAGATGTGCTGCTCCTGCTGCTCCTGTTGCTCCTACAGCGGACCTGAGTTTGCTTCACAGCACCCAAATCTAGTGGTTCACAACTGCTTGTAACTCCATCTAGCTCCAGGGGATCCAACACACACTTTTGACCTCTGTGGGCACCTACACTTTTGCAGGCAAGCCCCCATACAGACATGCATACATACAATTTTAAAAAAAAAACTAAAAATAATACCCAAGCAGACAAAAAAACCCAGCATGAACTTTGGAAATGGGCAGCAGGCTCCCATTACCTTAGCTAAAGAACTATTGGCAATTGATTACTGCTGGGTGAGGAAGAGCAGATCTTCTTAAAAGGAGGGACTCTAGTAGGCTGCCTAGACCTCAATGGATGAACTAGCACTGAGAGGACATTTGGGGACACTAACTCGACTTGATAGGTCTTAACATCAATGACAGAATGCATGAAATTCGGGGGGGGGGGGCTATGGGAGGGTGCCAGTGGGAGAGTGCCAGTGGGAGAGGGGGTATAAAAATTATTAAGATTTCTGTATGAAATACACATAAATTCAATTTAAAATTTTTTTAATTTTAATGAAAATAATAGTGATGCATACCTTTAACCTCGGTACTCAGAAGCAGAAGCAAGCAGATCTCTAGGAGATAGAAGCCAGCCTGGTCTACCTAGAGAGTTTCAGGCCAACTGGGAGACCTTTTCTCAAAATAAAACCAAAAAATTTAAAATCAAATAAAAATGATTTTTTTCATGTAAATGAAGTGAGGCGTGGTGGTGCATGCCTTTAATCCTAGCACTCAGGAGGCAGAAGCAGGTGGATCACTGTGAGAGCTAAGCCAATCTGGTCTATATAGGCAAATTCCAGGCCAGCTGGGGCTATAGGAAGACCCTGTCTCAAAAAAAAAATCTAAAGAATTACTAGATATGAAAAATAACCAAACAATACAACATATACATAATAGTAGGCTTTTATTAAAGGATTTCAAAGATGTTTTAAGAAAACTAGTGAATCTTGAGCAATATTCTGCAAATCTGACACGGAGTAGTTTCCTAATAAATGTTTGATTTACACTATTCATTCATTAAACAAATATGTGTTGAGTACCTGCTGTGTTTTCTATATTGAACTACAAAAACAAAACACATCTAATACTGGTATAATCAAAATCCAATTAAGAGCTCAAAACTTTTATAAACAAAAAATGTTTTATTTCCTTTAGTTTTCAAAGAATATAAATATCCTTGTTTTATTTTCCTGAAACTAAGAAAATAATCGGCCCTTAATAACACATGCATGTTTGCAATCACAAATTAATGTCATCGGTGTTATTATTCTGTTAAGGAATGATTGGAAAAAGGCATTCTTCTTCACATTCTTTTTCTCATTTAACTGGAAGTAACTTGTATAGGGAAAAGAGCCCCTTTATGAAGCTAGGCCTGATTCAGCATAAGTTCTCACCCCAACTAGTAATAGAACCTAAGGCAAAATTAGTCTCTGGCTTCAGCTAAAGGAGCTTCAATAGAAAGTCAGGCTGACTGGCACAAAGCAATTGACAAAATTATTCTTAAAGCCCATCTTAGTACTAAAATTCCATTCAAATGTTTCGACTCATCCAAAAATGATGTCAGAATTTTTAAGGAAAACAAAGCAGCTGCCTGTTCAGAAACTGTATTCTGCAGAAAGTCCTGTCCTCAGATCCTCTGACTTGTCCACGACCAGCAACCACACCATTTTCTCTCTGGTCATGAACTCCCCTCTGCTGGCCAGCTTCTCCCTGATATTCCCTCACGTGTGTCCTTCCCACCAAATCTTTCTCTGTCTTCAATCTGGAAGGGCCTCTTGAATATTGCCCTGGAGCATCCAGTCCAGGACATCATTAACGTCTTGGATGCTTTACTATCCAGTCCACCCTGGAAATTGCACTGATCAATTTTAGAACAATCTCTGACATCACAGACTATAGACTACATCTACATACACATTTGTAAGCAGCCGTTACAACTAAATAGACACAGGTAGGGGGTAAAGAGAAGAGGGCATCTGAACGCAATCAAAATGCATGAAATTTTGCCCAAAATGTCAGTTTAAAGAAACATACCTAAGTATTTTATATATTAAAATCAATTATAGGAAAAAAATACAAAAAAAAAACTGACTAGACATAGACATAGAGCCCAGTGGGATGGTGCATATCATCTCACTCTTGGGAGGCTGACCAGTATGGGTTACACAGCTTACAAAGTGAGATCATGCCTCAAAAACAAAGGTGAATAGGCAGGGATTATTTTCATCTCCTTTCTAAGATAAGAACTTACTATATACATGTGCAGGAATGAATAAGAAAATATAATTATCCAGCATGGTGGCTCTCGCCTTCAATCCCAGCACTGTAGAGGAGAGGCAGGCAGATCTTTGTGAGATCAAGGCCAGCCTAAGTCTACATAGTGAATTCCAGGCCCATTGGGTCTACAGGGAGACCCTGTCACAAAAAGACAAAAAAGAGGTAGGACAGTTGGAGAGATTGCTCAGCAATTAAGAACACTGGCTGCTCTTCACAGAGGACCTGGGTTCGAGTCCCAGCACCCACATGACAGCTACCAACAGTTGGTAATTCTAGTTCCTGGGGATCCAATGCTCTCTTCCAGCCTCCAGGGGCTTTCCACAACATGAGTGCACTTATATGCTGCAAGCAAAACACTCATACACATAAAAATAAAAACAGAAAGAAAGAAAGAAAGAAAGAAAGAAAGAAAGAAAGAAAGAAAGAAAGAAAGAAAGAAAGAAAGAAAGAAAGAAAGAAAGAAAGAAAGAAAGAAAGAAAGAAAGAAAGAAAGAAAGAAAGAAAGAAAGAAAGAAAGAAAGAAAGAAAGAAAGAAAGAAAGAAAGAAAGAAAGAAAGAAAGAAAGAAAGAAGGTGGTTTTGTTTGTTTTTACTTTACACTGTCAGTACAACATTCAGCAATTTACATGGAATGGTCAATATTTTATTATAAAGTAGCCTTTGTATTAGATTTGCTTAACTGTAGGCTAATAAGGGTTCTGAGCATATTTAAGGTAGATGGACTACACTGCAGTGTTTCATAGGTTACACGTACTGAAGGCATCTCAGCTCCCATGAGTCTACTGGAGCAAACTACCACCACAAATCAAGGAGCACCTGTCATTTCTCCTTTTCAGGTATATAAAATCCTGCTTCTCTGGTTAGTTATTCTCTTTAGAGGTCTTAAACCAGAAATGGAAACTTTGAGAATGTAAAAACTTTTAGTGCCAGCCCACATTCACCCTGTAGATTATTGACCTATAAACTGTCAAATGCAGAAGAACAGATCTTTACCTGGTGAACTTAGGAACACCTCCCATTGTTCTGAAAACCTTCCATCTCATTGATCCAGCAAGTGGGAAACGGGCACAACATTCTACGCCGTGTGACAGCTCGTGCTGAGATTATCAATCTGAAGAAAAGTGCTTGTGCGTGTTATTCGGTAACAGCATCACCTCGGCAGAGGTAGAGAAGGTGGACAATGACTGTGCTTGCACACATGTGCTTGCAACATGACACCCGTCTTCTACTGTCAGTCACCCTTGTGGGGCCTCACCGCAAGGCTCAGCCAATCAGCAAAATGAAAAACACTTAGGCGGAGAATGGGTTATTTGTAAACAGATGCCTTATGATACACATACCACACATACACAATGCACGACATACACACACATTCACACACACTACACACATATACACATATACAACACAGACACAACATATACAC